TTTTGAAACAGAGTCTCCATAAGTTGCTTCGGCCCTTGCTAAGTTGCTGAGGCAGATCTTGAATTTGGAATCCTCTTACCTCAGCCTCCTGAGTGGCTGGGATTCCAGATGTGCCAAGTGCTTTTGGTTTGAAGGGTAGTCTCAAGCATTCTCTAGCTGTGTGTCCCATGGCAAGTTCCTCTGTCACACGAAACTTCAGTTTCCGACTTGTGAGAGTTTAATAAGATGGTATTTAAAGTTTCTAGTACAAGCTATTGTATTCAGTGGGTGCTTAATAAGTGGATTATTATTATTATATGAGTATGGCCTTATTTCCTCCAAGCATGCAGGACTGAAAATGTGATGCTTAGCAATGAAAATCAAAGAGAGAAGTTTGGGTGCAGTTGTGAAGGAAGTGTCTGCCCGACCTGAGACGGGACCTTTGGTGCTGCTGACACCGCCAGGCTCACAGACCACACAGCCTGCAGACCCGGCCGAGTCGTAATATGGAAAGTTGAAATGGTTCCAAGCAGGGTGAGAAATACAACTGAAGTAGAGAAATCGATACAGAGCACACTTTGGGGTGTGACAGACTCAGGATTGAGTCCTGACTGTGTAAGTTGGGCCTTTTGTTCCCCTTTATCTGTACAATGAGAACAAATTTTAATTGTCCCGGACCTGTGAAGATGAAGTGAGTATGTGACTGAACCAACAGTGAGTAAAACCCAACATATTGTATTAAAAACTCCCACTTGCTTACTTTTTATTCGAAAATTTTGTCTGAATGTTTAACTTACTAAACAATGAGATCTAGATAAATTGAAGAATTTTCCCCCCCAAACAGAAGTGAGGGGTAAAGGTGAATTTCTTTGGAGATCTTGGTTGGGAAAGCCTGCTTTAGTCAGAATTTTTATCCCCATGACCAAAAGACCTGACAAGAACAATTAGAAGAGGAAGAGTTTATTTGCTGCTCATAGTTCTAGGGGTCTCAGTCCATAGAAGGTCAGCTCCATATCTCTGAGCCTGAGATGAGGCAGGACATCAAGGTAGAAGAGACAGAAGAGGCTTAGGACACAGCAATCATGAAGCAAAGAGACTAAGCTTTGCTCCTCAGGGACAAAATATAGACCCCCAAAGCATTCCCTTAGGGACCATTCTCCTCCAGCCATACTGTCTCTGCCCATAGTTACCACGCAGTTAATCCCTACCAGTGAATCCACGCACTGATTAGATTCAGGCTTTTAAAACCCAGTCACTTCACCTCTAAACTTTCTTGCACTGTATCACACATGAGCTTTTGGGGAACACCTCCATAACAAAGTCCAACAGCTGGAAATCTTACAATTGCAAGTTTCTCAATCACCCATTGACAGTGAATAAAGGGGATTCTGAAATGAACAAACCTGTGCTTCTCCAACTTGCCATTTGACATTTGAATAGGAAAGAAGGAGCAAGAAAGAAAATCTTGGCTGTTACTGAGAAATGCTATTTCACAACAGAACACATCATTCTCTTCATTCATATTAGCTATTTTGGGGAATGGCACCCACCAACCTAACAGAACAAAGAACTGGGACACATCTATTCCCCGTGCTTCCCATCATTGTTTCTCTCCCCTGCCGTCAGTCATCACATCCTGGAGAGAGAGTCTACCTCCCTAACAACTCTTGGATCCATCTCTCTGATCCACAACCTCTACCTTGATTTTCTCATTAAGTTCATGGCTGCAGACACCCAATTGGTTGTTCTGCCAGAGTTCTCACCTTCCTCTATCTGTTCTTTGCTAAAGTGATTAGGAAAAATGCAAGCTCCCTAACTTAGTACTTAAGGTTTTTAATGGTGGTGCCAAGAGTGAAATTTTGAGGTTCTTTAGTTAACATCTATGTACAAGCCATCAGTTTCGCTCCTTTTTAGCCAAAATCTATATTAAAATACAGCTTATGTTGTGCAAATAATGGCTCTTCACAAATCTCCCAGGGTTTCCTTCCAACCAGATTGTTACCCTTAACCAACTCTTTCACATATTCATACACATATATTTCACATGTGTGGACATTTCAACTAAGGACCCTTTATGGGCTGAAATGTGTTTACTCTATAGCCCCCTTTCTTTCTGGTCTCTTCCTCAGATCCTTTTCTCTACATGTGGTCATCTGAAACCACATGTAGTTCTCAGAAGAAGCAGGTTCTCTGTCCTATAGCAGGGCTGCCTGAGCTACCAGGAATGTCTACCCTCACACTCGCACTCACCTGAGTTTCCATGGTTACAGGTGGATCCTTATATTTTGCTTAAGAATTCCTCAAGGAATCCAGCTGCACCCCTCCTTACCAGCCTCCCCACCATCCTCCCCACCATCCTCCCCAGCCCAGACCTGGAGCACTGAAATGTGTTCTTTTAGGACCCCTGCAAACACTGTCTTATCTCTTTACTTTTGTATTTCCTCCACGAGACTCCACTGAACTTGAAGAGAGAAAGCTTATTTACCTTTGTGTCTTTGGAGCCTTGTAAAATTCCAGGCATCCAGCAGGCACTCAATAAATATTAATGAATAAAACTATGAAAAATGTATGCAGCCGCTCACTCCTGTGTGCACAGACACAGAGTCAAATACACAGAGAACACAGCTGTCTCAGCTCTGGTCTTGCACATCTGTGATCATCATGAGTTACCTGTTGAGTCAAAGTAATTTAATTATATGACCTGCTCCTGACTAATGAAAAATGACACTTTTTTAAAATATGGAAATCTAAATAAAAAAAAGTTTAGTGTGATTGTCAAATGCATGTTCTTGGTGTAAATATAACAATATGGAAATGATTATTTCTAGCTTCATTATAATACCCTGTCCAAACCAAGTGCAACAATTTAGAAGATTTTTAAAAAATCTACACAGATGTGCATTTAATGAGAAAATGAGGAAACAAGACCTATGCTGTGAATTGGTTAATAGACAATTCTCCACGAGACCTTTGCATATCTGCATGATTTTTTGTGCAAAGCACTCACTGTCTTTGTTCTGGGTTATCTTTTCAAGGATATTTATAGGACTACAGGATTCAGAATTGTTTAGTGCAGTACAAGAAAGATAATGTCTCTCTCTAGGGCAAAGATTAGGTTGGATTATTTCCTATATAAAATGTCAGTGTTTCCTAAACTTGTTGTTGCTCTCCTGCAATACTTGTACAGTGCTATCTGACCCCCTTTGTTCCATCTGGTGGTAATTATGAATCAGAAAACCATTTCAAATGCTGATACTCTGGTTAGTGATGTTGCTGTGAGTAGTAAACTGTTACTGTCTCTGATCTAGGAGTCTCATGTATTCTACTAGCATCCATGGCACGGTGGCAGGCTAACTTACTAACTTGCATGTGGAATAAAATCTCAGACCCTTCACAGTTCTTGACAATGTTAGTAAATAGTGATATTCAATGATTGTCATGCTAGTAGTATTGCCTTTCAATATTTTTTTTTGATTTTACATTTATTAATTAGTAAGACTCTGCTAAACTTTAGTAAATCTTTTCTTGATCTGAAATATACATTGTCTTTATATGATAATTTACACAGTGAATAGTTGTATAAAACTATCCACTCAGATAGTTTCGTGTAGAGAGGTGAATAACTTCAGGATACAAGACAAAGAGAGTGAATATGGACATTGTTATGTTCCCCAGAGAACAGAAGATTCGGTAGGTGACCCACCTACCACTTAAATTTATAGGATTGAAAAAGACTATTATTTCCTTAATTTCAAGTCTAAGACAGTTCAGTCACCTGAGAAGAGTTTTTCAATTTATTTCTAATAAGGCAAACGGGTTTTTATTGTGCTATTGTCTTGGTGGAGAGAACTTTTTTCAGTGATAAAAAAAACCAGTAACATGCTGTCAACATATAGATAAAATCATAAAAATATCAGAGGACCCATTTGACTTTCACAGCAAAGAAGGAAACAGGAAACATTTATTTTAGAACAAACACAAAGCAGAGAAAATGAATGATCCCTGTGGTTTGAGAATCAAGCTTTTATCCTGTTAGAACCATTGTTGAAAAGAGCAAAGCACGTTTTAATTCTGAATATGGAAAATTGTTCTTGAAAATTTGCTGCCCCTCAACATTGCTCTGAGAAGTTGTTGTCCTTTTAGAGATGGAAAATAAAGAGCTTACAGGGTAAATAGCCTACAACTCAGGATGGCTGACATTCAGAGAAGATTCACTGGTGAGTCTCTCTCTCATCAGAGTTATTTTGTTAAGGTAGTTTCTTTTTGTGCCCTGTAACAGTTGAACTGAACTGAAAAGAAACAGGCATTGTGCATCTTGGAGTAGTATCCTGCCACGGGCTATCAGAATGTGGAGGAAAGATGTGGCTCACACAGGACGTGTGACAAAAGCGGGGGCCTGAGCAGCAGGCTGAGAATCAGACCTTCCTGCCACACCCCATGACTCAATTACCAACTCACCTCATGCTTGTAGACTGTCTCCTCCACAGTGTGCATTTCCACGGTGTGGCTGACACATGATTCAAAAGACAACTGTGACAGTGTAATAAATGAGTGGCCACTGTTTCTGTTATTCTGATTTTCAGAAAATTTTGAATGATTTGGCTTTTTAGTTTAATAACAATTGATTCTGGTGATGTTTAAACATTGCATCTAAATGTTTAAGTTTTTAATTTAACATTACATTTCTAAAGGGAAAGAAACATGATACAGAACCAGTGAATTGAATGCTAAAGGTGTCTCCTACTGCCCACTCTTCCTGCTAATCAATCCGTGCATCTCCCTATGGAGGAAATCTCGTGCAGAGGGGTAACACTGTTCTCTTTTGAAATGAACTGAAGTGTGTTTTATGGGAAAAATTCATCAGTGACTTGAAAAACTGTGCACGGCATTTGGCCTTTTACTTTCTACTGACAATTAGTATTTTAGGAAGGTTCAATTAAGGTCTGCATGTTTAAAAATCTAGGTAGCAGAAACATCAAAGCATGATCACTTTTATTCATTCCCGGGATATTCCTGTGGGAATTAGTGCCAGATATTAGGCGGTGGTTTAGACCACTGCATGAATATTGTCCCCAGAAGCCAAGACAAGGAAACAACCTAAATGTCCATCAACAGATGAAAGGATAAAGGAAATGCGGGTGCACTGGATATACACAGAGCAGAATATTATTTAACCTTATAAAAGAAGGAAATCCTGCCATTTGCTACAACATGGTTGAGCAGATTACGCTTCCAGAAATGAGCTAGACATTGAAGGGCAAATATTACATAATTCCACTGATATGAGACTTGTAAGAAAATAAAAACAGAGTGTAAAATTCTTCTTGTCAGAAGCTGCAGAGAAAGAGAACTGGACATTCCCTGGTCGACCAGTATAAAATTTCAGGTATGCAACTTGAATAAGTTCTGGAAATCTTTTGTATAACACTTAACAATACTGTGTTATGCTCATAGAAATTTGTTAAGAGGCTGGGGCTCAAATTAAGTGTTCTTACAATAATAATAATAATAATAATAATAATAATAATAATAGATAACTGTCTGAAAATCTCCTGTACTCCATATGCTGAATGGATCTGGAGAAGGGATACTGCCTAATACCTGTGCGTACTTGTAGAAATATTCCTTGGCTCTAAATAAATGGCAAACATTCCTTAATATCAATAACAATAATAGGAAATAAACCCCCCACTATAAATGCGTAAGTTTGGTTTTCAATGTATTTGTTTCAATTCACCCCCAAGAGCCCCGTAAGGACAGGCTAGATTTGCTGGTTTTGCCTGGGGCCCATGTCACTGTTGGTGGTTGAGCCAGATCCTAGACTCTAGCTCTTTTCTCTCGATGGGGGTCCTTTAACACTCTGGCCTTGAGGTGGCTCTAGGTTTTGTCTTGGTTTTTGGGAGCCCTCAGTAGTGTAAAGGGGAGATTTTTAGGCAGAGATGGTCCATTGATGTGTGAACTAGGCAAAGCTACAGCTCTCAGTTATTCAAACACTAACACAGGTATTGCTCTGGAGGCGTTTTGCAGGTGAGTACAGTCTATAATTAGATTATTCTAGATAATCTGCCTGGCTCTGATTCAGTTAGTTGATAAGCCCTAAGAGTGGTGTGGAGACTCTCCTGGGAAGAAGTTCTGAGCCCAGGTTCTGCTCTGACATCCCAGCCTGTCCTCCCGACATCCTACCTTGTGGGTGTCATGATCGTCCACTGAGCCCACGCACTGATACGGGGCCAAAACTTATCTCCTGCTCTCAATGCTTCTCTGCCTGGATGCTCACTGACTACAGTGGTGTCCACTGCCACCCGAAACACCCACCAGAGCCGTCCCTCCCCAGGGTTGTCAAGGGTGCACCGGAACTGCCTTGGAGCAGGAGGCAAGCAGAGTGGTTCTGCGAGAACTGCGGCTGCAGGGTGGCCCTGCTCATGGGCCAAGAGGGCTGAATCTAGGCGGAGTGCCACGAGATAGTGGTCTTAGGTGCTCCTAGTTCATGGACTTTAAACTCAAGGGAATCCTGCAGGAGGCATCTGGGGGAGGGTGCTGATGGTTTTTGTTTTGTTTTTGTATTTTTTTGGTTTTGTGTCAACAGGACTCTTTCTGACTTTCCCAGCTTTCTAAGAATGTTCCAAACCTCAGAGTTTTGATTTGGCAAACTTTAAGCCTAGCTAGTCAGTCTCTGAGATGGTGGCCTTGAAGTGGCCAGAGGATGCTTGCATTGCACCTATCAGGTGGCTACAGGGAGCCTGGACTGAACTCCGCAGTTACAAGACTGCTCTTGACTGAATTTCATCCTTCCCAAAATTCACACAGAAGCCCAGACCCTTAATGTGGCATTTAGAAAGAGGGTTTAAGAAAGGAACTAAAGTCAAATCGAGTCATGAGGGTGAGGTCACAATCTGTAGGACTAGTGGCTTTATTGAAAGGGACAGATTTATTTCACTGAGCACTCACAACAGAAAGGCCATATGTGGACACAGTAAGAAGGTGACTGTCCCCAAGTCAAGAAGAAAGTCCTGACCAGAGCCAGACCACTCTGGCACCCTGATCTCAGACCTCCAGCCTCTTGAACTGTGACAAAGTTAATTTTTGTTATTTAAGGGACTCAGTCTCTGGTAATTTGTTGTAATGTTAGGACAGCCTGAGTAGATCAAGACAAAAGTTGACTTTGGTAAATAAGGGGAGCCATTGCCACTGATTTTAGGGCCAAAGACCCTGAAGGATTATTTTTATTATTGTCTTTTTATAATGAAGAAGAAACAGAACTTTTTCACTAAATACAGGTAGAGCACATCTGGAATTATGGATAGTATGGTCACCTGAATAGTCAGCCCAAGATAAACATTTATTGAATTGGGCTGGAAAATCATAGAACTAAAGCCAACTATGCAAGAAAAGGTAAGAGGGAACACCTATGATAGTTTAATATGATTATTTTTTAGTGTTCATTGAAATTATGAGTCTACTTACTACTTATAAGGGCCAAAGTGAATTCTGTTCTGCGTACATGAAGCACCAAATGCAAAATATTTTCCTTTGGAGTTTTCTATGGATACCTACTGATAGACATTGCTGTGAGTTTTTGCTTAAAGACTTTTCTGAAGTTACTGCTGGAAGACTGCAGTGATTTGGGTTTTTTTCTTTTCCTGGGTCCTACACCTGCCTTGGATTCAATAGTAAAGAAAGTGTTTTTAAAAACAAAGAATAATAGCCACCTTACCTTTTAGGTTAGGCACCGGTATCTTTACAAGGGCAATGTGGGGCATTCTTTGTACAGCATTTACTCTGGCAAATGTTCCATACGTATTAGTTGTTCATATTCAGGAAGGTATCCTGAAGTAACCAACCTTGGACCTTGCTGGTTATAAAACACAACCCTTTGCTGCAGATCTGCTGTAAGATTGTGTAGCTAATCTGCCAATTTTTTTTTTCCACAGGCACTGTGGTCTCTTTACAATCATATGTATGCTCACAACTTATGTTATGCACAGTTCCTATTATTTGGAAGAGGAACAAACTGCATGAGAGATACAAAAGGGCACGTTCTATTGGCAGCGAGAAGCCCAGGAGCATCTGCTGTCTTTACACTGTCCAGCAGATCAGGAGTTTGGAAAGGGGCCTGGCAACACCACAGGCCTTTTGTGTCTGGAATTTGATTCTCCAACAGTACAAATTAGGAGCAGTGGGGTGGGCACAGCCTCCTCATGGGTCATGAGCCTGCATTAAGTTTTGAAAAGCATTACTCAGTGGAGGATGAATCAAGATATTTTGCAGGTTTCTTATATTGTCATTGGTAGCAATAGATCTGCTTCTACTCCTTTTCTCTTAAGGTCACAGTATTTTAGTTTCTGAAAACAGCCATATGGGCAAAAAATAGTATTTCTATAAATCCTAGAGGATATTAGAATGTAGGATAGAAAATGCAATTGGATAAGGTTACAGTATAAAGCTTATTTTTTATGTGAGTAAATGTATTTAATAAATGAAATGGAAAATGAAACCAAAACACAAAAAAATTAGTCAAATGTCTAAAGCCTCAAATTAAATAAACATGTGTTATCTGTCTATCTGTGGTTGTCTATTTGTCTATCTGGGCATAAAGATAAGATTGAACCCATGAAATTATAGTTTTAGAGTTCACAACTGAAAAATATTAGAAATTTCATGGCATTCAACCAAAAATACACACACAGAGACAAAAATACGGTTATTATTAGGATTTCTGTCACCTGTAACTTCCTTTGCTTTTATTTAAGTGATTTATTCCTGCAGCTGTATTCTTATCTCAAAGGGTGACCTTCACCCAGATAGAGTTAAAACACGCCTCGGATTAACCTTCAGGTGTGTCAGACCTTATCGGTAACCCAGTGAATTGCTTCAACACAGATTTCAGCACGTACCTCCATCATCTAGTATTGCTTCTTACTTACTGTTTTTTCCCCCTCTGAAGAGTTTAAAATCACACAAGCGGCACAGATTTGTGCAACAAGTGACATATTACAGGATAAAAGCAGTTACTCTGCCGGTCCCACCTGGTATCCCGCCTCCTTTCCGGGCATCCCCCGGCCGCAGGCTGGGTCTGGCCTCCGCTTTCTCCCCTGGGGGGACTCTCACGTCCTTTCCCCAGGGGCGAGCACTCGGCGGACTCACCGCACAGCACGTCCTCACTGGTCGGGTTACGGTGGACAGTGAGACGGCTCGTCCCCGTTTCCTTCTCGTGGGTGTTGGATTCGACCACAGCGATTTCATAAAAATATTAGAGAAGCAGCGCCTGCCCGTCCCTCGGTGGTCCCTTTGGCTCCCCCGCCGTTCAAATCCGGCTCTTGCGCGCCCCCTGGAGGCCCTCGCGCGGTAGACCACAGCGCTGCTCCGCCTGGGGCTCCCGTTAGGTGGCCCATGTGATAAGATGTGTATTACATTGCTTTTAGGCTTCATGATGTTTTCACATATAATTGCTTCATTTACTTATCAAAATAGCATTGGGAGATAAGAATGAGTTTGTTCCTATTTAGCACTTGGAAAAGCTTGAACCTGGAGTGACGGGCCGGACTTTCCTAGGATTGTCAGCTTCCTCTGAGGATTAAGACCCAGGTGGCCTGATCCCTGGCTGAGTCACCTCCCTGCATCCAGGCTGAGTGTCCGACGGCTCTGCTGCACACCACAAGCCCTAAACCCTACAAACAAAGCTCTGCTGAGGTTCACCTTCACGCCATTTATGCCCAAGGTGAGGCCCAATATAAAAAAGATGCAGTCTTATCTAGAAGTCATATTCAACTGATTAATAAGTACAGAAATGTCAGGAGCAGCTCCTAGATATTCCCAGGGCACTGGAGGGTGGCTGCCCAGCCTTCTCAGAGCTTTTTCTTAATCATGGTTCCTAAGATCCCCAGGAGGACTTCAGGAAGCATACACACACCCCCGCCACCCCAACCCCAGCACAGCTCTCAGTTAATCACATCCCCATTCCCCTGAAATTGGATATGCAATTGGATAAGCCTATTTTTTCATGTGAGTAAGTGTGTTCAGTGAATCACATTCCCATTCCCCTGATACGGTCCTGTCCCTCCACTGCCACCTAAACAATGATCGACCTGACGACCACGAATCTTGGAACTTCCCAAGCCACTTCATGTCTCTCAGGCTTCAGTTGCTTCAAGATCTGGAATAAAATAGTGCCCTCAGCACAGGTACAAGTTGTGAAATCATGTCAACCTGAGGCCGAATCCTGGCCTTGGCCTGGTGTACCTGTCACTCAAGCTTAGCTTACTTCCTGTGCTGCCATCTTGCAAGTTATTCCTGCATGTTCCACGGTTAGACCAAGAGTATGGAATACTTCGGGGATTATCCAGGTTAGTTATTCAAACTGGGTGGCGTTACCTTCATCCACACAGT